CTTTGTGTCATATTTTTGTGGTTTAAAAAACAAACAAACATGTGGTTCAGAATGGATTAACCATATTTACATTGAACCTTATGGGAAAATTTGATTCGGTTCACGACCAATTCGGTTTGCGACCAGAGTCACAGAACGAATTAAGTTCGTGAACCGAGGTACCACTGTATTTTAAAGTAATATAATGGTAGTGCCTTGCTGCTAACATTTCAGTAGGCTGGCTCCAAAATGACAAATGCCAGTCCAAAAATTGTTTTGATCCAACAAACCAGAGAATGATTTTTGATTTAACTATTCAAGTAATAACATGTTCAATTTAAAGTGGAAAGTCAGGGAAGATATAGCATCTATCCAATGCAAGGAACACTTCAGAACAAGAGCTTATTTTCATCACCCTCCTCTTTTCTTATACACCCACCCTGGTGTAAGGAGAAAAGATTAAAAGAAAGACAGAACATAATAAAGGAAGTTATAACAGAAAATTAACAGCCAATATTCATTGTGCAGAATGCTGTGGGTACAGTTAAATAATATTGAGATGGGACATTTTACAATGAAGAGATTTTTTAAAAAATCAGAAAACTGTGAACAAGCATAAACTAGAAGTAGATTGTATATAAAATTAAAAACAGTTCTACATTGTATTTCATGTACCATTATTATTATTTGTTGAAAGTTAAAACTCCCCAAACACAAATAGCAATGGCATTTCCAACAATCTCAAACAAGCGACTTATTTTGCAATGCTTGTAACCTGCCTCATCCCAAAGGGCTCTGAGTGGTGTACAATATCAAACAAATTTAATGAAGACAAGATATTTAACTGAAACCTTTATACCTGCAGCATTTTTAAGATCTGTAACATACAACTGTAATCTTTATTTTTTTTTTTCCTTTCCACTCTTGCAAGCCTGTGATCTTCAAACACTTTGAGTAGTAATTGAAACAGTCTGTTGTATATTATCCATAATTTAACTACAAGCTGAATAAATAACTACTTCTGATCAAATAAAACACCACCAGCAATAATTATAACAATTAATAATTTATTAAATTTATATGCCGCCCAACTCCCAGTGACTCTGGGCAGTTTACAAATCATTAAAAACACTAAAAACAAGAAAAGAACAAAGATGGCAAAGATAACAAACCCAGATAGGAACAAAGAAAAAGAAGAAAATGGGGCTTCACTCTTGCTTGCCAAAGACCTGGGCAAAGAGCCACATCTTCAGACCCTTCAAAACACCGGCAGGGTAGGGGCTGTTTGGACTTCGGGGGGAACCTCATTCCAGAGACAGGTGCTGCTACAGAGAAGGTACACTTCCAGGGTCCCAATAGATGGCATTATTTAATTGAAGGAACCCAGAGCACGCCAACTCTGCCAGATTGGATTGGCCATGCTATCAGGCAGATACTATGGCAGATAGGCAGTCACTCAAGTAACCAGGCTCTATGCCAGTGTTTCTCAACCTCAGCAACTTTAAGATGGGCGGACATCAACTCCCAGAATTCCCCAGCCCATGTGTACCATCGCCTTGAATTTTAATATTTAAAAACTTCTTTATTAACACTATTATAGTGGGCTCAAAATAATATTTATGGTGCAATCCTCCTACAAAAGGCTGGTGTGACTATGCCCTATTGATATGAATAGCACCTAACTGTTTAACTATTTAATTTCACTGGTTTCAGTGTGTCCCTTTAGCACTTTTAAATAGTAATTTCTAACTAAAAGGTACTCACTTGTTGCCATGACGCCTGGAGGACAGGCTGATATCCCATGATCCACTGCCCATCTGAAGGCTCCCTCAGCAACTAAGAAACTAAAAAATAGGGGAGACAGAACAAGTAAGTGGCTGGGGGAAGACACTCTGATAGGAAATATTTTTCACATCTTTCAGTATGATGGCAAACTATTTTAAGTACTTTTCAGCTAGCAGAATTGTTCTAACTGAATCAAAGCAGAATTGCAGGAAACAACATAAAACATGATATCCATTACAGGGATAAATAATGCAGAACACAATCCTAAGCAGGTTCGTTTTAGACATAATTTTACTATCACTGGCATCTATTCTCTTTAATAAACCCGCAACCTAAGCCACTTTTTTGAACCAGTGAAGACAAACCATAGTTCTAAAATACTTGAGAAGCAAATGAGAGTTTATTAATGTTGAAAGGGGCAGCTTTCAGATGCCTTGGCTTCCTGGCTTTCTAAAAAGAGGGTCTTTACTGAAGTTCCCAGAAAACCTAGGAACTCAGTGCTTATAACAACTCCCTGGGACTACCAAAAAATTTCAAGAAGTTGACAAAGCAGACGGATTTCAAGTTTTCCACATGCTGTAGTAAAATAGGCAATTTTGTAGCTGTAACCTATAAGCAGTCTCATTAGAACAGGATGCTCAGAAAATGATTCCCCCCCCCCTCATACTTGAAAATTATTACATCTGTAGAAAATAGACCTATAGTTGATCTACAACTGTTTATGAAAATTAAATCAATTTGAAAATATTGTTTCCAGAATAAAAATTTTCATGAGCATATACGCTTCAACCTCAAATCAGCCAATTCTTGAAACATGTATTTTGTTTTGAACTTGGAACACTTAAACAGCCTTTCTGAGCATTCCAAGCTCAAAATAAATGCATATTCCAAGAGTTTCATTCCAAGGTAAAATACGCTAATTTAAAAAATTTAAATCTGCCAAATTGGTTGGTTGAAAAGGTAATCTATGCTGACCTTCTGCACTCAAGCTACAGTGAAACAGACCAATGGACTGAATATTTTTAAACATTAAAAATGTAGTAGGCAAGGGACACAGCCTGCCTGGATGACTCTGTTTATTTCCAGGCCAAAAGGTGTTATCTAAGAAAGTGGTTGAAAGTGTAGCTATTTCACCATGTTAAAATGTTGAGAAAACACCACAAGTTTTTAAAAAGATTCTGGGGTATGGAGGCACGTTGATAAAATTATTTTGTTTCCTGAAAGGAACTGTTAATGCTTACACCCCCCACGCCCCAATTTAAATGCTACTTTGATGAATTTGGGGTAACTGTCATCTACCTGCCATTGTGGCCCTAGGTTGTGAAAGGTATAAGTTTGCTCTGAGTACCCATTATTTTTGATGAGAATATATGTTGATATTCAAATTTGGTTCTGTTGGAATACTTGAGCCTTTTCAAGTTTATTGTGTCAAAACATAGCCAATAGAGAATGTTCTGATGAACTGTTTAGCAGGGCTATTTTGTTCTGCATTCAAAATAAAATTTATTTTCCATTTTGTCCATACCCTTAAATGAAAGCATATGTTAAAATTTTACAAATCTGGAAGAGGAGATGAAGAAATCTATGTTTTTAAAACAATATTTAATTTTGACATTTAGTGGATTTTTTTATTTCAAAGCTCAAACATCAAAATAGAAGCTTTGAAATTGTGTAAATACCTATAAAAACAACCACAATGAAAGATATTATAAGTAGAAATATTATCCTTAATTCTCAATTCTAGTTACAGCCATAGTGAAAACATAAGATGTTCCAAGACCAATGAACTAATCCAGCCCTCATCTAAAAAGCATGCTATTACTGATGTTTTCAAAAAAACAAGCAATAAGAAAAACTTTCAAAAATTGCATTACAATGAAGGAGGAGGAAGAAACAATAACAAGAAGAAAAAGCAAAATAAAGTAATTACCAAGGTGGAATTCTGCCAGCAGATAGTTTTCCCTTCTGCCCTTCACACAATAATTTATTTGCCACGGAGACAGGATTTTTGATTCCTGAAAAACAAAGTTCATCCACGAAAATTGCAATATTGCATTACAGACTAATTGCAGTTCATTAAACATATTTATTTTTTTCAGATTTCTGTATTTGAGAGAAACCTATGCTATCTAATAAGAAAAAAGCCAGACGTGAAGAAAGAAATCCTACATTAAAATGATGATCCAAATCATGTCACCTACACTAAGGCCACTTTTCTCAATAGAAGCAGACCAAATTATAGAGCTAACTTTAAAAGGACAAGTTCACTCTTCAAAAGATCAGAATGTAAAATTAAAAAAAAAATGGACCCACAATCATATACACATGAACAAATAACATTTTCCCTAAATGAAGATTGCAGTCTAATATAAAGTATGTTTCACATAGTAGCTTATACTGTAAGTTTTATATATATACACTATTTAAGAGACACATATTCAAGAATTCTCTCTGCTTTTATTGTATTCATTTTCAAAGATGCATAAATGTCTGTAATATATTCCCTTAGTATGCCCCAGAAAACAGGTGTACTAATCCAAAACATAGAAAAACCAACTGAAGTCCATGGGACAATGCCATCCTGATTATCTAAAGTCACACTGATTTCAGTGGGAAGCATTCCACGGATTTAATATTTCTTCTATGTTTTGGAGACAGATTGCTGTATTTTCTGCTTGTTTTTCTCTATCATAATATCATAGCTACTTAAGGGAATTTCAACTATCATGAGTCACTGCCAAGAACATTTCAAATTTATTTATTTATTTAAAAAATTTATATGGCCACCCAACTTGAACAGTGTGACCCTAGGCAATGTACAAAAACCCCACCAAAATAAAGCAAGTTGACAATAACAGCAATAATCACTAATATGTGACCTGGCTCACATTTCTATCCTCTTCCAATGGGAACTTACTCATCTTGAACCCAACATGAGATTGTTGTGATGTGACTAAATGCATACTCAAAAATCCTTCTGGTATAAATATTACACCTTTGAGAGCCTGATTGACATACCACTGAGAGCACCAACTGCTCCAAAATTTAGTGATTTTCCATCCATAATACTGGCATCACATTCTATTTCACCTAATAGGTTTAGATTAGATCCCATTCCCGCATTTGTAAAGGGTGAATCCTATAAAGAAATTTAAAAAAAATAAATAAACATTATTATCACAAGAGACTTGAGTCAAATTATTATTATTGAGCCAATATGTTGCCCAATATTCAGCCCACTAGTTTTAATTCATTAATCCCTATAGGAAACAGAAGAGGGTAGGAAGAAGGAGGGGGAAACAGAAAAGAGGAAAACAGAGGGCAAGTGAAAGCAGAACCATAAAAAAGGGTAAAGAAGGAGTGGGTGCTTTCCAGCAGGACATTTAGAAATGATCTAAACAAAAAGTCAGAGAGTCAGTATTATTAAACAGGATAATATTAAAAATAAAAACCCATGAAAGTTCTTGAGTGGACATGAAAAACATGCATTCTTACAATTTATCAGACTACTGAAAATTTCAATGCCAGTGTCGTGAAGCCAGATTGGCCAACTTGCATTTACCAATACTCCACATTGTCCACCCCTCATGCCAGTCATAGGATACACATTATTCATCTGAGCCACAGAATCTATGGATGCATGCTCTGGGTTTTCTTTAAAAACCCATTTTTACCATTCCATTGTCATTTAGGCAATACAGGTGGTGAGAACCCTATTGTTCTCACACACTAGGGTTAAGGGAGAGGATATCAGGTGAAGAGCCACCTAGAAGATGACAGCAGTAACTACCAAGCAACTACACAAAGGCAAGAAGAGGAACCAGGTTGGGAAAGGAGGCATGAAACCTCCAGCCTTTTACCCTATGAGCTCCACCATGCTGTTATAGTCAGAAATTGTATATAGGCACTGAATATAGTGAAAGCAGTTCTGAGACATGTGGACATACACACTCACACCCATATCATTCACCAGGTGCTTCATTTCTCTCCTCCCTAAATGTACACATAGAGTATACAGAAGGTGCCTGTGAAGAGAAACAAAAGGAAACACTACTGCTTGTTAAAGACATAAAATGTCAAATGGCTTTTGCTAAATGAAATGTAACCACAATTTCTTAGTACAGTGAGCAGGAAACAGTATTATTCAAACAATTCCCTTTGGATCTGTATGAGTATGCAAACAGTTTTCAGATATGCGCATAAAGTAATATATGTACATAAATCTGGCAAAGTACAAGGATTTGTTCACAGTTCCCTGAACACAGCAGAAATGTGTGTCTGATACTACATACTGTACAAAAAGCTCACAAAGAGCAGACTCCAATGTAAATTGGTCTGAGAACACGGGGCAAATAAATGTGATTATTCTTGGATGAAGATGCAAATATTGCTTAGGACCCTAACTGCTATATGTGCTGCTCCATTTACACTTCATTTAGTCTTCCATCTCCAATGACAGCACCAAGAAGTTTAATTCTGTAACATGCCAAATCCAGGAGGAAGAAAAGGATGTTTTCTAAAGCACATCAGGCTTCAACAAATGAGAATACTTCTGAAAAATGCTTTTCCCCTAGAGGTCTGCAACCCTTCAGAGAGGCAGCTGCCACCAGAAGAAAATAATGCTCCTCTCTGATATAGAAGTGGTGCTTTTCACTTGCATGCAGATGGAGCTGAATCCATCCTATTTAATTCGGTTGTGCTATTCTTTGTTTTATGTTGAATTAAGACAAGTTTTCCAAAATTTCTTTTAACAGCTAAGGAATGTTGAAACCGAGGGACAGAACACTGGAAAGCAGAGAACCCCCAAACTCTGCTATATGAAAAAAAGCTATTTATTTACTGAATTCATTTGGATATAAAACGTGAAGCATTCAGATCTACCTCCCTTATTCTTATATTTAATTTTGTAAAGAACTGCAACTGGAGTGCAAGCTACAAATAAAAAAATTGGCAGAAACTGATTCTGGAAGTAGAAATTACATTTTGAAGTTTGCATTATCATTTAGGCAGAGGAAATATCTATATTTTTATCAACATATACTCTCATTTAAAGGAAGATTCACACCACTGTTCCCAATTCTCTTTTGCATCCAGAGTTTGACCTGTAGTCAAATGGTATTAAAAGAATTTAGTAAGAGCCATTAAGTATACAACTGTATACAACTAGTTAGAGCCTAATCAGAATCTCTACTATTTCCTTACATATTGTCTCTTACATCTGTATATACAGGCCCCTGTTCTAGGTATTCACACCAGGGTTGCAGTGTATAAAAGAAAATGCCTTAAATCAACATACTATAAATCAGAGAGCTTCCACTTCACTACATATGGAAGCCAATGGAATTAAGGCCTTTAATTACTGACAGGCATTGACTGAGGGGGAAAAACACATTCAAACTATCTGAAACAACCATTTCCAACGTCTGGGTCAGTTGTCTCCAGAAGTGCACCATGGGTAAAATATATCCTGCTGTATTTATAATCACCATAAAATCCTTGCCAGGCAGGGAACAAAACACCATGTTTGGGCAAATCTCTTTGAAAAGGACATTTTATTTATTTATTAAACAGTTGTTTGTTATTCCAGTTTTCTAGGACATTGGTTGTAAATGTTGGAAGGAGGCAGACATGCTATTTAATAACATGCAGATTAGATTTGGCTACCCACTGATGTGTGCAGTCATTTGTGTTCAGATTTCCTTAAGTTAAGTATTTGAATATATTATCTTTTCCCATATAATGAAAGGTAAAATACTTTAACTATGCCTCCATCTGGCCAATTTTATTTCAGCATCAGTTGCTTTTACAGTAAGAGATATAGCAGCCATTCAAATTAACTGGAACATATTAACTGCTGCCTCTGCCTCAGTGACATAGCAACTGGCAGCCACTGATTTGCAGAAAGAGCTTGCTTACTTTCACTCCAGAAAATGACACATACACTTTATATCAGAATATCATGAACAAATAAAAGAGGAAGAGCAAATCCTGCCTTTTGGCCAGTCGTTTCTTTTCTTTAATGTTATATAACAGCTGAACTGAGTGGGGACTAGGTTAAAAAATACAACTGCCTAGAAAAATTAGTTCTTCTCTTCCTCCACCTTTATCCATCCAATAAAAGTGGGTGATCTTTAAGAAATAACTTTATAAACCCCAAGCAGTCAGAAGCACTCCTACAAGTATGTCTGTAATTTGCTGTACAAAAGCCTGTGCATCAAAATATTCAGATACATAAGAGTTTGTTACAAGTGCAACACCTGAACTTTTTAAAGATCATTTCTTCCTGATTCAATTCCACTGAAAGGTCAGAATATTTAATTCTGATCAGATCCTCTGGACAGCTAACACTAATGTATTAACTGTGTTCCATCAGATCTCAAGAACATCTCTCTTAGTTACAGTAGTCCAAAGAGGACATAACATGATAGACAACGGGAAACCTTTGGAATGCGCTTAGAAACTTCAACTATTGGCTATCACTTTTTCCAAAAAAATTAAAAGTGCCAAATATAAAGCTTATACACTGAAAACTGAGAGACTGCTGTCTTGCACTCTTACCCCATCAAAGACATTTTAATATATAATGTTGGAGAGGGGCCTCTGAGTAATTGTGCTCAGGTTCTGGAGCATCTGTCCAAGAAAAATCTTGGTTCACTTCTTTTCTGTTGCCTTTCACCAGTAGGTGGAAATGTTTTTGTACAGGCAAGCGTAGGCATTAAAGCTTGTATTTTAGTGCTGCTAAGTGCAGCTTCTGCTTTGATAAATGTGTGTTTTTAAATTTATTTTACATGTTTTAACTGTAATATTATTTCCATTGCTGACTACTTTAAGTGTCATTTTTAGTGGAAAAATGGGACATAAATTCAATAATTAAACCAAAGTTGGAAAATACTGCCCTTTATCATTGCACTGGCAGCCAAGTATTAATGGATTTATTATTGTTGTACATTACACACAGATTAATTTTCCACAATTTTGGAAAGCTTTGTCAAGAACCAAAACTAGCTCAGACTAATGCAAACAGCACATACCAAGATTCTCAGTAATGAAACACACTGCAGGAGTATTAAAATAGACAATATACTTCTATTTGTGGTTCAGAGGCTCACAGTGAATACTAATGTATATGTCAAAAGCACCCAGTGCTCTAAAAATCTCAATAATCAAAATCAATTCCCTCCACTTTCATTAACTGCATTCAAAACACTTCCTGACAGTCAACTTTTTGGAAAAAAAAAGAAAAAGAAAGGGAAATTACTTTTCACATATAGACTTACAATACCTCCAAGAGGTCAAGTACTGCCATAGAAATCTTGTTCCAGGAAGGCGCTTGATTATTAAACAATCAGTTTATTTATCCTGAACATTCCCAGGTTCCCCAATTCCACTCTCTTGTCCCAAACATTTCCAGAACACTGTCTAACACAACAGGAAATTCAGAATCAATGTAGACATGTCCAATTCATAAACCTTATGAAAACTTTACTCAGGAGAAAGGTAAATACTTGCTCCAGGCAAGAAACCAGCAGATAACTAAAAAGAGATAGTCTTGGTATATAATTCCTCAGCTTCTCAAATGTCTGTGCTGTTTGAACAGTTTTCATATTGCTCCAATTATTTCATCCACTACAGGCCATGGACAATTTAACCCAGTCCAATGTTCAAATACAATCTGCATCTAAGTCCTTCAGGGATATAAGATCCATCCTACTCCAAAAACAGCTGTACAACTTCACCAGAGTTACAAATCCTTATTCTAAAAGCTCAGTTAAATTTGACTGTTAAATTTGAGAGAGAGGCTGATTTCCTCCCCTTTTTGTCATATTACAATTATATGTAGAACTGCATATTTTGGATGTTTTAAATGAATTAAAACACATACGCTTTATGCCAAGTTTGCTCAAAAGAGTGGGAACTAAAAAGGTGACACCCTTCCTCCTCCAATTAAGTTCACTTTTGATCTATTTATTACCCAACTACATCCAGTATTTGCTAATCCCAGGAAAAATGAGATTGCACTCCTGGCCATAATCCAAATGAGTCTATGGATTAAGAATTGTATTATACTTCATGACATTCCTTTTACCAAACCCATTTGTGGAAACCTGGATTAAGTAAACAGCTCATATGTACTTTAGGATATAGATGTATCTACCCTTTAATTATGCTAATGCCCCAGGGAAAGAGAAGAATTCAGTTACCATAGAATTTTGGCAATGAAAGGAACTAGTCCAACCTTCGGCGATGTGCAGGAAAACAAATTAAACATCCTTGAGAAGAGGCTGCATAGCCTCTTCTTAAAAACTACTACCTGATGTTAAAAGAACTAATTTGGTGGAGAAATTATGCTTCATGAACACTGAGTTATCAAAAAGGGATGTGTTAATTCAGGTGCAGCAAGCACACATGAATATTGCAAACAAAGCCACTAACTACCTGGTCCAGCTCTACTTATCCACTTGTTATCTCCACAAAAGTCCGGGGTCAAATAATAGATCCTGATTCATTCTAAAAGCAATTAATCCTGAAGCTTTTAGACTGGAGCTGCCTGACTTACTGGTAATCTGTCTCACATGTAACCTGCATCTGTATAACCAATCTGTCTTCACCTTCCTTTCCCTCCCTGTCTCACCCCAACTTAAATCCCACATCAATCTAGCCACTCTATGCATCTGATGAAGTGAGCTGCAGTTCACGAAAGCTTGGGCCTTTTAATTAAATTTGTTAGTCATAAAAGGGGATACCAGACTCTGATTTTTTGCCACCATAGACTAACATGGGTTTCCTCCTACAACATTATATTTTTAAAGTAGCAAGATCAGTTGGTCCAAATCTTAACTAAAGTTCTCACTATATTTGTCATGACATGATCTCTTATATTGGAAACAAATGCATATCTTTCTAAAAAAAAATATTCAGGTTCCCTAATGACTTCCTCACCAGATGTGAAGCACACATAAAGGAATTTAACCCTAACTATCAATGAGAGATGAAAGTTGAGATGCTCTTGAGGTAATTAGCCCATCACTTTCTTTGAAACCAGAGGAAACAAGATGCCGCAAAAAAGAGCACTAACAAGTAACCAAAATATGAAGAGCCCAAGAGTTCTATTAAAATACATCATCTTACATATTAAAAGTCTTCTAATATATGTTGCCAATCAATGCATTTAATATAAGACAAGATGAACAGAAAAATATAGTCAAACTGCCACCAAAAGAGTGAATGCCTGAATAAATATAAGTACCTCTAGTTCAACTAGCGCTGCAGTCACTGCATCTGTTACAAGAGCCCCAGCCTGTAGCTTTTCAATTGCCTAGAAGACAGAATTTTAGGTATAAAGTATTGCCTCTTAAATATTTTACATACTAAATTTTCTACACAATAAAGCCCAGTGAGTCATTTGGTTGCAAAAGAGATATTGTTCAAAGTTTCAAGAAATGGATAATGACTATTCTAAGGTGAAACAAAAGAACTGCACTATACTTACATTTGTGGCATCACTTAATCTAAGGCCTCTGGCTACACTGTGAACATACTTTAAAAAAAAAAAAGAAGCACTAGGATACGAGTATCAAATCTATCCTGTATTTGCACCAAATAAATGCACATATTTCCTACTACATGAAATATGAAGCAAAGCAGAAAATTACTGCCTCACTAATTGACAATAGATGTGTAAAGTAAATTTCTGTTTACAAACTTATTTGTTTACTAGTCTCACTGCATTAACCTAGCACCACATTCAGAAGTCTTCTTCAGTTTGACATTTGTTTGTTCTACCTTCTGAGCAGACAGCTATGTTGTATTCCAAGCACAGAAGCTGAAAATTACCAAGACATTTGATGGGATGGAGAGAGAGGTATCACTGGGAATATTTTACTCCAGTGTTTCAACATCTTCATAAAGTCCCCAGGGTACTGAAGATGGAACTGAAGATACTACCTTTACCCTAAAATGTTGATAATGACTTGGAAATCACTTCCTATTCCATATCCAGTTGGATTGCTATAAGACTGTTAAGTGTAGCCTCCTAATTATATAATCAAACAGCACATTTTCAAGTACTGCTCATCATTTTGGGAATTCTTTCATTCTGTAGGCTTAGCTTGCAACAGAAGCAATACAAGATTGTTATTTATTAAGGAAATAGTTTTTACAGCTAAGTCAAAGCTATTTCTAAGTCAAGAATGAGTAACCAGCAGCCATCCAGATGTTGTTGGACTAAATATTCCATCTTTCCTGACCACAAGCCATAAAAGCTGGAGTCCATCACTATCTGGAAAACCACAGACTTTACACTGCCATCCTAAACAAATATATTAAGATATTTGGCAGAGAAAGTTGCAAAATCTAACAGTTAAAGTTATATACTGATAAAGCTGAAGTTCAAAGTTTGTTTAAGGCAAGCAAGTTATATTTCAATGTAACACTAGTTATGACATATATTACACCAAACCCAATCATAGTGTACAACATGAACCAAAACTATTAATAGTGTAAACCCATATATTGCATATACTTGAGTATAAATGTCATTAAATTCAGAAGGACATACATTAATGCATGTAAGACCATAGGACTAATAAAGCATACTGTTTTCAAATTCAAAAGCATATTAAAGACATATTAAACTTGCAGATTGGAAAAATAAAGCAGAGTTGAAAGATCAAGGCATTCCCAAATGTTCCAGCAGCTAAACAAATAAACCTAACTTCATAATCTATAGCAAGAACAGGCACTCTGGTACCCTGCAGATGTCTGCATTCAACTTCCACAGACCCAGACAAGTATGGCCAATGGCAAGAGATTGTGGGGGGCTCCAATATAAAGCAGCTAGAGGACATTAGGTTGCCTACTCTTGGTCTAAAGTTTCAACACAACAAAGACTGCACTAATAAAACTATTCCTTCCATAAGGTGCCAAATGTCTCCTGAACTCTACAAGAAAGCACATCGTGCTGACTTACAAGTGTTCAAACTTCCTATTGTGCTGATGACATGTTTCATGTGATATGTATACAAACAGAAAATAGCATTTTTCTTATATTCAACTTGTTAAATAATTCAGTTTCTGTACTTTGTGAAGAAATATATATGTACGGTCTAAAACTTTAAGTACACAACTTTTCTTAAAAAACAGTGTAATTAGGAATTGTTTAAGAATTATTGAGAAGTAAAAGTAAAGAGTTCTCACTATTTTAGTTTTTGTCTTTTTTTTAGTTCTATTTTCTTTCTTTTCTATACTTTCTGATTTGTATTTTAACTCTGCTTTCTATATATCTTAATAAAAGTTTTAATAATAAAAAAAGAGAAGTAAAAGTAAAGAGAGAACATTTCTAACAGATCGAGAAACTCTTACCTTCCGACATGCTCTTTTGCACACATGTTTATATTCTTTGGCCTTGGATTCAGAATGATAACCTGCACCTATTATCAAGGAAAATGTAAGAGAAAAGAGTAAAAGTGATTAAGTACTGTAAGTAGAACAATTTTGTTTTAAAGCTTCTTGTAAAACAAACCTTTCCATCCCAAATATACCTCTATCTTGTAAGCAGACTACATACCAGCATGTATCCCCTTCAAGGGCATTATCAACAGGTTGGGTGGGTCTGTCCTTCCACAGCATAATCCTGCATCATCAGAACCTGAATGCGAATCATGCAACCCTATGATCATGAGCTCATTAAGGGAATCTCAAACAACACTTCACTGCAGAAAGCCATCTACGTAGCAAGCACTCATAGCATTGGTTCAAATACCTAGCCCTGAAATGAGGAATTGCACCAAGGAAATACAGCTTCCCTTTACGTGCTAGGTACAAACGTAAGTGGGACCTGAAGTAGCATGGAACAAGAAAAGCAGTGCTGTCCCTTTCTGAACAGAGGCCCACATGTTTGCCTTTTATCACTGCAATCACAATAAACAACCCATCAAAATGTAAACAGAAGTTGATTAACTATGTATAACTTATTAAACAGAGGCTACAATTCTATCCACCATAGGCATGTGAAGTTCATTTTAACATGATATGTTATCCTTTTAAATTCTATTACCTCTTGAGCAAAGCTAAAAGAATCCAGAAATATTAGTAAGCAATGAGCACAGAAATACAAAAGTGTTTACTCTCCTTTAAAGCATTTTGCCTTCTACTAAGTGGTGCAATTTATACCTACACCAATTCTTGATTACACAACAAATTATTTGGTTAAATTTAGCCTCAACTCATGGACTGCTAAAATATTTAGAATTATTTAAACTTCCCATTCATTCTCCTCCACTGTCAAGAGGAGCCTCAACTAAGTAGTATTATTGTCTCTCCATCCCTACAGTGGAAATACATCATTTGCACATGATAGACTGCTTCATTGGACTGTGGCTTTAGAGAACATGCCAGAAATTTTACTACTAATATCTCCCCAGGTACACTGTTATGTTTAAAATAAAGTGGTAATATCTTCCATAACTAACAGGTTTTTATAGCTCTTTTTCCTAGTGCCTAAGTCCTCCAACTCTTGTACCACTGCTTTACAATAAAAGCACCAACAGGATACGTTTTAATATTTGTATTCATGCCCCTAACAGTGCAAAACATTTAGTGTAACTTATTAATACTTGCCCAGAATATTCAACAACAACTGCTTAACTTTCTAGCAAAAGTGCTAATTAAGAGTTAATAACAAAAGTTTGCCTAGCCAGGTGGTAGTACTGGAATTTACTGGGAGATTCCCAGTAAATATGAGAGCTGTACATTAGGCTAGAAAGTAAAAAAATATCCCAGTAAAAGTCAATGTAAACCACATCCATGCTGTTCCCCCCAAAAATGATATTGGCATGCCTATGGAATCACCTGGAGTCAAACTCAAGTCAAAGATTTTCCTAAGAAACATTGCCAAATCAGAGATGACAGATGTAAAATATAAAATAGACCATTTACCAGTGAATTCACTAATATGAATAAGATATTATTTTAAGATATCACAGAATATCTGTCATAGTAACACATATTGCTGCAATCTTTGATTAGTAGAAAATATTGCCTTTTCCAAAACAGATCACACATTTCCGACAACCACTGATAAGCATATAGATTTTTTTCTTTTCCTTCTTAGTTTGTACTTAATTTTTTAAAGTATTTTTTAGATTAAAGATTGTTTTGTTACAAAATAAAGATATTAAATTTTTAAAAAGACCTCTGTGCTATTAAGTCTGATATTAAAATAAGACACTGAAAATTGTATCTGTTTTATCATTTAAAACTGCAGTAAAGCTTAATTGTCCTTTGATAAGGCCTTCGTTCAACAATGAGCTTAACTATCAAAATAGACCAATATGTGCTTGCTTCTATTGGGGCTTAACATGATCCCTGGGATGATGATTTGTGAACCATGACTTACAGCTCAACGTGTTCAGCAAAAGTAGTAATTGTTAATTTAGTAAACCGCTGATTAGATAAGCCATGGCTGTGTGCAACATACACAAGATTTTAAAATATTTTGCCCTTTATTCCAAAAAATCTCAGCAAACAATAAACTGATAAGTTCTGACCAATGGTAAAAGCAATCTCTCAAAGCTGCTCAAGAAAAGGGGATGAAGAAAGTATTAAAGATTGACCTTGCCCATCAACAATATGCACTCTTCAGAGGGGAGCACCTCTGTTTTCTGTTGAAGGGAATACAGCCTTCAGCATAAATGCCTTGTTAGCCTACCATTTTTTTTTAAAAGCATGTTTTCATGCATCATGCTGTAGATAAATTTACCCATCAGAAAGGCAAATTAAAAAAGGAGGCAGCCTTCTGATTAGTTACTTCCTGCCAAAAGAGAACAGGTGTGGGCATTGTACCGTACGTCCTACTTTAAATAAAAGGGCTAAATGGATAACCATAATTGGAAGCAAATGAGCAGATTACAGTTTAGCCAGAGTAAATTGGCAGAAGAAACATGTCATGCAATAGAAACATACATTCACCATTCTCTTCACAATGTATCTGTGCTTCACATGTTTCCCACCTCTCCCAAAGTATCATATGATACTAAAACATTACAACCCAGCCCATCTACTGTTGCAATATTCCAACATGTACCTGCATGTACAAGTACAAATCCCACTCGTCTCACTTTTTGAACCGGTTTGGCTTCATGTTCTTTTACCATCATCCTTACTGCAGTGGCATGAGATGATATGGATGGCGGAACTTCTATTGAGCTTATTCCCTTTTCCATGATCATACTTCAGGGCTACCGTTTCCTGTGGAACAAAGCATGCTTCCATCCAAGGGAAAACATGGAAAAGGACTCTTCCTGAAAACAAAATCAAGCAAAACTATCTCATTATTTTATCTACTTTTGGCTAGGGAGGATTCCATTCAAGAAACGCACTCTGTTCAGAGCAGTCACATTGTACCCAAGCACTACTCAGGCGCAGGAATTTTCTCCTCACATCTATGAACATCAGCAGAGTCCTAACAAATGCCTATATATTCAGCAAAACTATACAATACAGGCATGTATTAATTTGCTATTTACTATGTTGCATAACCTATTCTTAACTTTAAAATGAACTATTGAGAATGTTAAATTTTTATAAGCCTCAGCAGGTTTATTAGTAGTCTTTCACACTGACAGAAATTAGGGAAGAAAGTCATTTGCAGGCAGAGTGCTATGATTCCTTTAACAACTCAAATAAAATAGGGCTATTCCAAAAAGTGTCCCTTTCCCCCTACTGTCTCTTAACTTCTATTCTCTCGCAAGGTTTTAGTAGTACTACAAGGCTGCTAGACTAGTATTACTAGAGTCCTGAGTGCAAGCACTCATTTAGAAGCTGCAAGCATTCTCACCTACACACAACTTTGTGCAACAATTACACAACTGCACTATGGAAGCCCAGGCAGACTATTATTCATATTTGCACTGAAATCAATGCCAACATTAGGACTTCAATCCTATGCTCTTGATAAGGAAGACGCCTACTTCAGGGTATAGTGTCTGTGGAGACAGCATTAAGTGTGTCTCAAAAACCGAGTATGAGCCACAGAATATGGCTATGGAAAGCTCATACCCAAGAGACCTTAACACAATCTGTTATTTCCGCACTTGTTCCCATCCAGCATCTTACTCAGAATCAAAAACGATGAGGTCAGATTCTAATAAGAAAACACCAGAAGATGGTGGATGTTTTAAATTCCTCCTTTCCTAAAGCTTTCTTAGTAACACAGGAGCAGCAAAGGACTCATTCCCCAGTATTGCCATAGCAACCTGAAACATGATGACCCAGAGCTGCAAAATCCCCAGTCCGCTGTTTGAGCTTGGGAATCTAAGGAACTGCCTTGCTGGACAGCAAGAATGCATCCAAGTTAAGAAGAAAGGCTCCTTGTTATCTCCCGCTTCAGATGAAAGCTTTGGCCATCAGCTCTACCTCCATTTCCGTGAGGCTTCACTCACAGCCAGGCTGGGCCCCTTGACTACCCAGGTAAGTCTCGGGGAGACGAGCCACACCACTAGGTTCCCCCCACAACCCTCATGCTTGGCCCCCACCCCACAAGGCTGCAGCCTCAGGCACCCTGCAGGCGAGCCCCCGGGCAAGCAAAGGGCAGGAGTCGCGCTCTGATCACATCACCAACGCGCCTCTTGCCTCGGCGCGTGACGTCATTGCCCGCACCCCAGGAGAGTGGGGAAATACCCTACTGCGTCGCCGGCGGGGGTCGCTCCTTCGCTCATCAGCTCCAGCCAGGTGCCGTTACCAGGCTCGTCTCGTTCCGGCCGCGGGCGCGCGCACCCACGCATTTGTCATCAGCCTCCTCAGCGAGTTTTTGTAATGGGGGGTGGGGGGGAGAGTAGGCGCGCGC